AACAGACAAGCCCAGCCAGTATAAGAGACCTACAAGCTCCAAGAGCCAGGCAAGAGATGGGGCCAGAGGAACTCATCAGGGAAATGCCTACATGCAGGGCACAGACTTTTCTTCCGGTCCGTGAACTTGTACTTTGCACACGATTCTGACTCCTCTTATGCTCTGATCTTCCAGCCAACAGCAGTTCAGATGTCGCAAGGTGAGGGAGCGATACCAGCGCAGCGCGTGTCAGGGACTGCATTCAGATGGAACACTAGGAACGGCAGGCATGAAAACCAGAGAGTGGATGTGGTCTGGAGCTCCTGTCACCAGGAAGCAGCCTCTGGGCTCTCCCCGAGGGCTTGCTCTGTAGAGGCCCAAGCAGAGGCGGTCTTGACCAGGTGTGGACAGGCTGGGAAACTACACCTGGTCCTTCCCTCTACCCTTTCCCCCACCCATAAAGAAACTAGGGTAGCTTGCTAACACACATTTGGTAGAGCTGTAGATCATGACAAAGATGTCCTAATATGCCACCAGCCTCGAAGGTCACAGCATGGTTATGTCACTACTGGCATCGGTGTTACTTAGGATAGGGGTCCCTCCACAGTTCCCTAGGCTTTTGATATAGCGGCTTCCCATGAGGAAGGGGTTGGGGAACATTGGAAAGACAGAGTGCTAAGAGGGAAACTGAGGCTCAGCTCCAGTAAGGAAGTGCCACTGACAGTCTAGTGACTTCCTGCCTGCTTTTGTCCTCTCTGCTTGCCAAGTCGTTCCGAGAGCTCAGAGCCTGTGACCTCCACCAAGCACTGGCTCAGAGGACTTTGCCAAGGGACATAGAGGGACACCATGACTCTTCACCTGGAGCAGGATGGCCAAGGGATCATCTCTAGTCACTCTCTCTATACAGTGGTCCCATCTCCCACATTCTTTGTGGATTCTCCTTTTTAATCTGTGAGTAACTGGACCACCTCGGATGACAAAGAGTCCCAAGTACACCTTGCCAGTGCAGAAGATGTGGATCACTGGAACCAGCTCCTGCCACAGGCCTGCCGGGGAGAGAAACGACTGTTCCAACATCATCACCAGTTAGTGGTCAAGCTAGCACTGGAAGCCATGCCCTCTAAGTCTCGGGGGCCGTGTTCGAAGGCCTCCCTGTGCCTCACAGGAATGGGGCTGGGCTGTGCAGGGAGAGAAGACAGGGTTAAAGTGGGGGATTTTGTTTAATCCTCTCATCTGGCTTAAGCCAAAGCTACATTGGTTTGTGCAGGAGACAAGAGAGACACGGAAGGGCTTGTTGGGGGCTGGGCAGGGAGGTGTTGGGTGTTAGAGAATAATCCTTGTGTACCTAAAGGCAAGAGCTGACAGTGGACTAAGTGGTCCCCACATTCATTATCTCCCTGTCCTATTTCTGCCCAGTGTCCAGGCCTCTGGGCAGGGTCCCTCTGCCATGGAAGTCCAATTGTCCCAAGGGATTCAACAGTACAAAGCAATGGGAAGACTTGAGGGTAAATCCTAATCCTGCCATATATTTGCTGTGTGACCTTAGGTGAGTCACATCACCTCTCTGAGCCTCTGCTTCTTCCTCAGTTAAAATAGAGTTTTACACATGAGCGAGAAAAGTTCTGAACCTGTGTACACAGACAGGAGAGGTTGCTGAGTCAATCCTTGGCTCCATAATTGTCGGTCCCAGCGCTTATTCCCCCACCAGGCCCAAGTATTACTCTTCAGTCCCCACCTGCCTGCAACCTCAATAACAATTCCTTAGCCTAACGACATTTGTATTAATTTCAAAACGCCATGCATCCAACCACTTGATAGAGCAAGCTTGACAGAAGCACCCTAAACACAGCCATGTGTGCTCCGAGCTGTAAAGTCTCTCAAGTTCACAGCCTCATAATGCTCCCAAGTCCCAGAATTGATGACAAGGTCTGAAGTGGAGTCCGACCCAAAGAGAGTGGGATGCTGGGGCATGGGGCTTATTAGAAGGATCTGTCATTTCGGGGAGGGAGAGGGAACTGGGATTGACATGTAAAACAAGCTATTTAAAATTAAAATAAAAAATGATAAAAAAATAAAACTGGAAAAAAAAGAAGGATCTAGAATGGGCAGCCCACATCTGACTCTGACCACAGCAAGCTGCCTATCCTGTGAGAGCCAGCTGAGCGGCTGGGAAAGGTGGAGTCTGGCCTCAGGTGTATGGATGGCTAAATCCACGGCCCATGCCAAGGCCAAGCCAGGATGCGAGGTCTGGACTCTGACAGAACCTGGTAAGAGTACGGCTCATTGTCTTCACTAGTTTTTCCATCACCACCAAGGCCCATCTTATCACTCTCCCGTTGCACAAGAGGAAACTGAAGCCCCAAGTAGGCCTAACCCTCCTCAGTAGAGAGGAGGTCAAGTCTGTCTTAGCTCTGGGCTCATCCCGTGGCCCGATGGGCTCTCCTCTTAACTCTCTCCTTTCTATGGCAGAGAAGAAATCCCACAAAGTTCTTTAGCAAACCCGGGCTCCTGTGACAAGCTCAAGAACTTCCTCCAACATGGGGTCTGCCAGGATGCATACCTTCTCTTCCCTGCTACACTCCTGCCCACCCCGCCCAGATGCAGTGGAACCTTTCCTATCTGTGGCCCCTACTCAGGGATCGGGCAGCGCCTCCACAGGGTAGCTTTGGAGTGGGGCACGGGCTCCTGGGGGTATACAGCAGATGCGTGCAGGTGGGCTGCAGCTTCCCTTGTGAGCCTGACCAGGATGGCCAGTCTATCTATCCCTTCATCATCAGCATGCGGGCCCTCAGTCCTCACGGCAGCGCATGACACTGAGGGACAGGCATCCAGTGCGCCCCGCCAGCCCGAAGCAGCTCTCCGGGGGTTAAAACTGCAGCATCTTCTACAAGGGTTAAAAATGCAGTCCCTGGGCGCGCAGGGATGTGGTCCACACCGCTCAGGGCAGCGGTGAAGGAACATGCCCTCCCAGCATCCTGCAGTCCCCGGGCAGCCGAGCGACTCCTGGGAGCCGGAGCGTGAGCGCCTTCCTGCACCCCTCAGTCCCGGTCCCAGGGGCTGCAGCGCCCGCGAGTCCCCAGCGCTGCGACGATCTGCTCTGCTTACCTTTGTGACAGTCATACAGAAAGCGGGCGGCGGGGCCGGTGCGGGCGGCGGCGGGCGGCTGGGCCGGGCTGGGGACCGCGCGCTCGGGAGGCCGCTGGCTGATGTCAGCCGCGGCCGAGCATCTATAATAGATGAGGCCGCCGCGCCGCAGGAAGGCGAGGCAGGAAGAAAGGCGGGCGGCGGGCCGCGCGGGGGGCGGGGAGGACCGACCGGGGACTCGCTACAAAGAGAAGGCGGAGGCAGAGGCGGGAGCGCAGTCCGGACGCCTGGCGATCCCCAGCCCCTAGCGTCCAGGCACGGCCCCTTCGAGCTCCTGGCACCTGCGGCCGGAGGCGTGGGCGGCAACCCGGCCCTCTGTGCCGCGTTGGCTCCGGGCGCTGGGTGAAGTCACACGCTGGACTGGCGCAGCGCACGGTCGAGATGCCTTCCCAGGTCGGGTCGCCCCCTGGAGGTTCCGAAAGTCCACCTACAGTGCCACACCAACCAGTTCAGGGTTGCCAGGAGGGCTCGTGGAAGCAATCCCTTGGATCTAAATCCTCAGAGATGAGCTCGCCCCAAGGCCAACGTAATCCACATTACATAGGGAGAGATAGGATCTGAGTGGGAAGTGACTTGGACAGGGGCATAGGGTCCAGTTGGCCCACCAGACTCTCCTGCGGCTCTCTGCTTGGTGGCAAGCTTCTTGCAGACCCTGCGTTCTATAGTTATAGGGACACCCAGGGAGCCCTCTATAGGAGGGACAAAGTCGACCCTCCTCAAGAGTGTCCACAGCACTGTTTGGGGAGACGACAGGTGCGGGTGTGCAGCGTGAAGCCAGGCCTGGTCACCAGCACCCGGCATCTGCTGCGGGAATTTGAAGTATGCTTGCCTGAATATGGCCACACAATTACCTGGGCAGAACCGATTTGGACAGATAAAAAGGTCCTGCAGCCATGGAGGAAGGAGGAGGGAGGGAGTTATTCGGGACACCTCACTCTCCTGGGGTTCTGAAGTGTGCCACCTGCTCCCAGAGTTTCTTCACTGCCTTTCACAGGAACAACTAGACCCAGGCCACAAATGAGCACTTGCCCTGGAGGAAAGTGCAGGAACAGGGAGGTGGGGTGCTAGCCCTATCCCCCAGCTGTACTTCTGGAGTAGTACTGTAGTAACATCTGTGAAGTGCTTTGCTGTAGATCCCGATATTGTTTTTATTTACGTGTTTTTAGTTTTTGGCAGCCCTAAGTGCAACCATTTTTGCTAAAGACAGCAGATTTGGGAGGAACTTACTTGGGCTGACACAGTGACAGAGCTAGGACTTGAGCCTATGAGCTACAAGGTTCCTCCACAGTTGTTGCCACCTCTGAACCTCTGATGTGCCTTGGGAGGGATATAAATGCCCATCAGTCTCTGGGGACCTTGTAGCAACTCACTAGGTCTCTAGGGAGGGTAGATGTAGCTAGCCTCAGCATCAGGCATTGGCTGTGTGCCAGACCCTTCCTAGATGTGGTCATGTGAGACCTTAAGTCTTTACTGCCTCACCCCTGCCCCAGGAATGCTTACCTCATTCTCTTTGTCTGTCTGACTGCACCCCATCTCTGGCACCCCACTCTTACTGACACTCCAATCACAGAGCTGTGCACTAATACACTTAGTTCAGGAGGTCTGAGTTTCTTCCATGTGTTATGACAGTATAGAAGGGAGCTAGCTGACCTCTGGGTATTCTGTCACTTCCTGTTTGTGCTGGGGCACACAATAGAGACCCTCATCTCAACAATAACAAAAATAAGTGTTAACTGGGTGGTGGTGGTACACACCTTTAATCCCAGAATTTGGGAGGCAGAGGCAGATAGATCTCTGTGAGTTCGAGGCCAGACTGGTCTACTGTTCCAGAACAGCCAAGGCTACACAAAGAAACACTGTTTCAAAAAACAAAGTAAAGCAAGACAAGCAAAAACAACAACAAAAAGATACCCAATGTTGGCTTCTGGCCATCACAAACATGTACACACACACAGAGAGAGAGAGAGAGAGAGAGAGAGAGAGAGAGAGAGAGAGAGAGAGAGAGAGAGAATATCAATATTAGAATGCTTGCCTAGTATGCATAAAGCCCCAGGAAATATTTAAAGTCACCAGGTACAAAAAGTCACCAGGTACAAATCAAGGATGTTGTTGTATAGAAGCTGGGGAGATTGCCTTAATCATTAAAGTGCATGCCATATGAGCATGAGGACCTGAGTTCAAATCCTCAACTAGGTATTGCTTAGCTTGCAGTCCAGTCAGTCTAGCTAACCTATGAGTCCAGGTCTCACTGAGACTTAACACTAAGAAAGGCAGGCACTGATTGAGAAAGACACCCAGTGTTGACTTCAGGCTATCATAGACATGTGCACATATACATTCATACACAAAGACAAGGCATATCTCAATGATAGAATGCTTGCCTAGTGTGAATGGGGCTCCATGCTCCATTCTCAGCACACACACACGCGCACACACACACGCACACACACACACACACACACACACACACGCACACACACACACACACACACACACACACACACACTGCCAGGATACTCTAGTACCATGACCCCACTAGAAACCATTGAAGGATCAGCCAAGAATACCAGCAACCAACCCCAACACCCATCTCACTTGTGATCCCAGATTGTCATCCTCAGCTACCCAGCATGCCTCCTGGCATCTTCCCCAGTGTCTGCTGTTGTTGTGGGCTCTGGGAATAAGACAAATGCTGAATGTCATCTTGAGCCAAAAGTAATTAGGAGCATCAATCTGCAATCCCCAGGACCCACGTGACAGGCTTGAAGGCAGAGAGGAGACACTCTGGACCCTCACACAATGCTGGCTAACCCCCTTCTATCACATCCCCATCTCCTCAGAAAGAGAAGGGGTCTGGACAAGCAGAACACCCCACTGAGAAGCCCAGTCCTCCAGTAGGCTCAGCCTGAAGGAGGGACTCAGAGCTGTGAGCATTCCCAACAGTCCACTGTCAGCAACACCAGACCTGTCCCCCAGCCACCGTGCCTATATTGGCTTGGTCCACTTGGAGCTAAGCTGGAGAACACAGATGGACACAGGTTCAACTGGAAGGAGAACCCAGGAGTCAAGGAGGAGATACGGTGGTCCCTGAGGTTGGCAAAATGTGTTTTCAAGGGCACTGCTGGGGGTCGTTGGAGGAGGGTGCATACGGAGTCATCTGGCTGCTCAACCACACTCTTCCTCTGCTTTTGGTCTGGGAGTCCACGACCCTCCGTTTCAGGGCATGTCCTAGACAGGAGCTGGGGAGTCCCTAGCTCTTATGTATAGTGGTATCCACGTGGCTCCCGTCTGAGCTGACCCTGGGTTGTATGCCACAAATCATGGGGTAAAGAGTTGCCATCATCAGCTCCAGTGTCATTTAGAGGCGCTCACGCTCCAATACTTTCCCACACTCTTTTCTTACTCCCCCAACGCCTTTATTCCTTGTTTTAAGCACGACAGAACTCATATTCGTCCTCCAAAGTCCAGCTCAAAGGGCATCTTCATGTAGATCTACCTGAGTCATGCCGGACAACTTCCCTAACAGAATCTGTTTACTTGTCTCTCTCTGAGCCACGACTACCCCCTCCTTCTCCGCCTTCTTTTCTCTCTCCAACAGACACGCAGGAGGTTCTGGGTAGCTTCCAGCCACCCAGGAAAGCTTTCACAGGCATCTTTAGCACCTGCCTCAGTAGCCGTCGGACTCAGGCTCCACACAGCAAGGCATCAATCAGTTCCTCTAGACCAGAGGCTTCCTTGCCTTAGATACTCACTTGCCCAGCCTTGGCCCAGCCCTGTGTTGGGCCCCTCCATACAGACTGAGGAAGGCTTGTTCCTGGCCTTCAGTTTCCCAGGAAAAACCCACAGAAGTGGGCACCTCCTGGCTCCGGAAGACAGGCGCTGTCCTGCAGCAAGGAGTGGGGGGGGAGGGGGAGAGGGAGGGGGAGGAGGGAGAAGTGGGGAGGGAGAGAGCCCAGTGAAGGAGCTGGAGAGAAGCAGGCGTTCCCTTGGCCCCCAGCTACATCATGCCACGTTCTAGCTTCCCTGGCTACTCAGCCTCCCAGCTCTGACAGTGTTGCTGGCCCCATGGCAGCGGCCCAGGCTCCCCCCTCCTCCTCTCCATCTTCCCTCGAGCTCAGCATTTTCTTTTGCTTCACTTGGCCTTGGCTTCCTGCCTCCTGTGCTCACCATCTGTCCGCTAGCTAGAAAGTTCCTGCACTTCTGCTCAAACACATGGATCTCCGTTTGTAAAACCTTTCAGAGGCTCCCTGTTGTCCTCCGTTTGAGGCAGGAACAGAATCCTCCAGACCCGCCTCTGCCCCTTGTCCCTCCAGGTCTACCGTCTTACCTAACTCTTCCATTCCCTGGCCTGAAGCTCTATTCTTCTCCATCCTTTTCTCCAGCTCTGCCTCCTCCAGGAAGCCCTCCTGGATGCGTCCAAGGTTTCAGATTCCCAGCCTCAATGCTACTCTGAACCCACTCACTCTGTGTGCTTGATCAGGATTTCACTCTGCCCCCCCCCGTGTTGTGTTTCACTTCCTGTGAGAATGAATAAGCCGCAGGAAACGGGCTGGCTCTTCTGGAAGGCCAGGACGAGGGCAGCTGCTTCACTCTGGCAGCTGCTGCCCCGCCCCCGCTTAGGATTCTCAGGGCTGCCTTTTTCCTCCTCCATCTCTTTGTCTCTCCCTCGCTGCTCTTACCTAACCCTGCAGCTCAGCCACACTCCCCTTTCTGTGATTTTAATCTCCCAGCACCCGTGCCTGTCCCACCGAGTGTCCCACCTGTGGCTCACCTGCTGCCATGGACCCGTCTCTTTACCTTGGCCTCCGCTCTTGCTGTCTCCTTCCTGTCCCATCTCGAGCACTGTGCCCTGCCATCTCAGCTAAGGCCACCTTGTCCCTCTTACCCCTGCTCCCGCCTCCGTCGCCCTGTGATGGCAGCTCCTCTCTCCTCATCTTTTGGTTTTTTTTAGGTTTGCTTGTATTATGTTTTAATTATGTGGAAGGAATGGGGAGGCATGTACACAGGAGTACAGGTGTCTGCGGAGGCCAGAGGTGACAGGTCCTCCTGGAGCTGAAGTTACAAGGGACCGTGTGAGCCACCCAGTGTGGGTGCTGAAAACGGAGGGGGGGCGTCCTTGATCTCTCCACGGCTGTCATATAGAGACTCCCGGCACCGACTTCAGTGAGAGCGATGTTGGGCAGGCGGGACCTTCCTTCCACTCCGTGTCTGCAGGGTGAAAAGTGCCACCACCTGAGAGCAGGCAGGCAGGGCTGAGGGCAGCAGCCTAGACCAGGGCTGTCTCCGCTGAGCTGCAGGCTCTTGGTTCCTTGACCTTCTCTGTGAGGTTGCGAGAGTGTGGGGGCTCTGATCTCCTGTGTGCATGTCTGCGTGTGTGTGTGTGTGTGTGTGTGTGTGTGAGAGAGAGAGAGAGAGAGAGAGAGAGAGAGAGAGAGAGAGAGAGAGAGAGAGAGAGGTACTGGGTGTTAGGGGAGGGAACAACCACAGAACTAGGGTCACTAAGGATCCTCTGAGGCTGGTTCCTCCCAGAGCTTTGTTTTCCCAAACTGTTCCTGGGGCCCCAATAGTAAACACGCCTGGCCAGCGTGGGAAAACAGATGGCTGGCCCCAGAGGGCACCTCCTCTGCACTGTACGGGCAGCCAGGAGCCGATGGCATCCAAAATCCTGCTCCATATTTACAGAGTACAGCGGTTAGAAGCCTGGCTCCAGAGGCCTGGGTTCAAATCCTGCCTCTCCTGCATCTCAGCCGTATGGTGTGGATAGCCACTTGTTTGACCTAACATGCTTCATGCTCCTCTCCAGCACAATGGACAATGGTGATAGTCTTGGTCTTCGAGACCTACTGCTTGGGGCTAATAAGATGGCTCAGTGGGTAACGGTGCCTGCTGCTAAGAACAATGGCCAGAGTTCAATCCCCAGAACCCACATGACAGAAGGCAAAAAGTGACTCCCGGCAAGTTGTTCTCTGACCTTTATGGCATATAAGTAACGATAGATAGATGTAAAAAGACCCCATTCAGAGGAAGCGGGGATCGGGAGCCACCCCTGACTGCCACTATATACTGCAAAACAGCAGGAAGCCCCTGCTATGCAATCTTGGAGTGACGGTAGAATAGACAACTATTGTCACCTCCGTTTCTCAGAAAAGAAAATGGAGGCATTGTGGCCACCCGTGGGCTTGCCTAGGCCCACAGCACCAGCAGTACACTCAGAGCCTAGGTGTCACTTCACTTTGGCTGTGCCTAGGAAACCTAGTCTTAGCCAGTGTCCTGCTTTTGTGACCCCGCCCGCTTCTCTGCTCCATGTGGGATGCATTAGGGATCAAGGGCAGAGGGGAAGGACTCAAGGGCTTACAACACCCCACAGCCCATCCAGCCTCAGTCTCTGTCCACGGACTGGGGTCAGAAGCCCACACACATCTCCACTGCTGGGGGTGGGGGCTTTCCCAGCTTCAACAAGGGTCCTACGAAGTCAACTGAAAGTCAACAGAAGACGGCGACACTGATTCGTTATCATACGTGAGGTGTCTTGTGAACCTGAAGGCTCCGTGGCAGAAGGAGGCGGCTCCGCTCCCGTGGAGCAAGGGCTGCCTGTGCAATAGCAGCCATCTGTGTTGTTAGATTTTGAGACCAGGTCTCTCAAATCCAGGACTGGTGGGTTTGTCTAGACTGGCTGACCAGCAAAGCCACGGAGATGCGCCTGTCTCTGCTTTCCCAGCTCTGGGATGACGAGAACACCACATTCAGCTTTTTATGCAAGTGCTTGGGATATGAACTCAGGTCATCAGGTTTACGCAGCAAGCTTGTCACCATCTGATCCGTCCTCCCAACCTCTAGATTTCCTTTTACAAAAGAGCAGCTTTTCTGAGTCATTCTGGTGTCTTCAATGTGCTGTCCACTCATGTCCCCATGCAACTGCCACTCTTCCAGGAGTACTGTCCTGGAGGAATAAGCAGAGAAACCTCTCATTGGGTAAAGCGCTGGAGGTTGGTAGCCCTCATTGGAGAGAAAGGCCTGCTGTTCTGCCAGTCACCAACAGAGGGCACTAGTAAGTCCAGTGTACACTGGGTTGGAAAGCAGATTACTATCTAGCCCGTGGCACCCTTGGGGCCTAAACTTTGCACCACCTGGAATGATCTCAGAGCCCTCGAGTCCTCTGACCTCCACGTGTGTACGCTGGCATGTGTTCACCTTCACACACACACAAATAATACAGTGTTTTTGAAATGCAGATTCTTTGCAAGCCCCAAGAACCATTTTCTCCTGCTCAGCACCCTTTCCTGATTTACTTCTCATCCCCGCCGCCAGGAGAAGGTAAGGACATCACTCTTAGTGCAGCTCCACAGCTCCTGGGGACCTGATTGTATTGAAGCCATGCGATTCTCCTTGCCTCTGCTTTTTCTCTTTGGGACTCATCATACCACCCAAAAATACGACTTTAGGAGACCAGAATATGCCACCCCAAAATACACTTCCTTGGTGTATTTTGGGGCAGCTATTCTGAGGAACTGAAGGCATGGGAGTGCTGAAAAGCTGTACTTCTGCAGGAGAAATTGACATCCACATTGGTAAATCATATCAGGATGATGGCTGCTCCGGTAGCTTCTATCAGCTAGAAGATAGTATCTGTACCAAGCCTATCCTTACCCCCACCCCCTCCCGGTGACTTGTCTCTAACACTCTCAGAAGCCCCAAGTCCCCATGATTCCATTCTGTGTTTCAGGCTGCTGTGTAAGTGACAATTATCTGGCCCATCCTTGGGTCTCCCGAGGGACTCCCCAACACATCAACATAATTAAATATGGTTTTGCTCCTGAAAAACCTATCTCACGTCGATTTAATTCATAACCCCAAACATGCATGTCCTTTGTCTCTGGCTGTAATATTGTAATCAGCCTAGAGCACTGGGGCCAGCTCCTCCGTTCCCTTCAGCAGATGCAGTACTTACCTGCAAGTAATAGAAATGTGTTAGTTGACGCTCAAGATTAAAGAACACGGCTTCCAGTGATAAGTGAAGGCCACCAGATGTTCTGGGTTTTGTAAATCCAAAGAAAGATGGTTTAGCAGTTAGCATCTTAATCCTGTAGGGGAGCTTTTCTCTAGACTTTAGGTTGTCAAGGGTCAGGTGTGGTAGCTCACACTTGTAGTACCAGCATTCGGGATTGAAGATCACAAGTTCATTGAGGGGGCATGGTGTGTGTGTGTGTGTGTGTGTGTGTGTGTGTGTGTGTGTTCATACATGTGTATGTAGGTTAGAGGATAAACCCAGGCATTATTCCCTGGCACCTTCTTTCCTTCCTTCTCATTCCTCTTCTTATTTTAGGGGTATTGGGATTTTGCCTGCATGTCTCATGTCGAGTTTACCCAGGACACCTTCCCCATCCCAGTTGACTTACTCCCTGTGACACAGAGGAGGCCTACAGGACAGGAATATCAACTGTCAGAGGAGAGTGGCAGACTGGAAGAGCTCTGGGACCCTAGGGTGTGGAGGTTGCAGAGGAGACTGGAGTCTGGGGTCCCTGCAGGCACCTCCCCTTGGGTGCCCAGAGGCTCAAGTGACCTGAAACTTGGAGTCTCATCAGAGAAGAGGTTGTAGGTGGCACCCAGGAAAGACTGGGGTGTGGTTCAGTGATGAGCACTTACAGCATGCATGAGGTCCCGGGTTCAAAAGCAGATAATGACAGCATCTACCTCAAGGGTACAAGTCTGTCCATAGCCTGGTACAGGGACTTCCAGAGCAAGGGTTCAAAATAGAGCAACTGTATCTAACATGTGAGGTAAGGGTTCTAGGACCGTGGAAACAGCTGTCTGTAAATTGCTGGGTGAGTGAAAATGAGGACCTGCGTTCTATCCCCAGAACCCATGTTTTTAAAAAACTGGGTGGGATGGTAGTTGTGGTGGTTTGAATTGGTTTGGCCCCATGCACTCCTGTGTTTGAAATCTTGGCCCATAGGGAGTGGCACTATTAGGAGGTGTGGCCTTGTTGAAGGAAGTGTGTCATGGGGGCGGGACTTTGAGGTCTTATATATACTCAAGCTGCCCGGTGTGGCATACAGTGTCTCCTGCTGCCTGGGGATCAAGATGTAGAACTGTCAGCTCCCTCTGCAGCACCAAGTCTACCTGCACTACACTAACGTTTCCCACTGATGACGAACTAAACCTCTGAAACTGTAAGCTAGCTCCAATTAAACTTTTTCTTTTATAAGACTGTCCATGGTCACAGCAATAAAACATTAACTAAGACAGTACTTCATATCTCTAATTCCAACTCTGAGAGGGCAAAGACAAGTGAATCCTTGCCAGACAGAGAGCCCAGCCTACATGGTGAGTTCTAGGTCAGTGAGAGACCCTATCTCAAAAAATTCTGAGTTGGCTGGTGTCTGAAGGATGACACTGAGTTTGACCTTCAGTTTACACACATATGAAAATACATGCATACATACATACATACATGCATACATACATATACAGTAGGGATTTTA